ATAGAGCTGGTACCTCCAGGTCAGGAGGGGACAGGGTTCTATTCCATCCTGTTTCTGGTTCCCAAAAACTCCGGAAGGTGGAGGGGGATCCTAGATGTAAAGAGGCTAAATTATCATGCCACCTATGATAGGTTCAAAATGCAGTCCCTCCAGTCAATCCTGGGCTGCATCAGGCAGGGACCTCCATAGACCTGAAAGAGGCCTACCTCCACGTACCCATCTGCAAAGCCCACCGCAGATACCTGAGGTTCACTTATGCCGGTCAGCACTACCAGTACCGGGCCATGCTGTTCGGCCTGTCATCAGCCCCAAGGATGTTCACCAAGGTCCTCGTAGCAGTGGCGGCATTCCTCAGGTCGCGACCAGTAAGACTGCACTACTATTTAGACGATGTGCTCATCCAGTCGTCATCCCCCCAGCAGGCGGTCGAGGATCTGCAGTACACTATGCAGGTGCTCCAGGGTCATGGCTTCTCCATCAACTTGGAAAAGAGCCATCTTCACCCAACAACCAGGCTTCAGCATCTGGGGGCCGTCATCGACACCGTCACCTGCCAGGTCTTCCTGTCGCCAGAGAGGATGGAGAGCCTCAGGGAGATGGCCATGCAGGTTCGGCGGTCTCCTCGTGCCAAGGTAGTTCTGCTGTCACAGCTCCTGGACAAGATGATATCATGCCTGTCCATCATTCCGTGGTCACGTATTCACTCTCGTCCCCTCCAGTGGCTCCTGCTGCCCTATCAAAGGGCCAACGAGAGCAGCTCATCGCGGCTCATTCCCGTCTCTGCGAAGATGTGTCGCTCCCTCAGTTGGTGGTTGTCTCCGGCCCTGAAGAAGGGGTCTCCGTTCAAGGAGTTGACCCGGCTCACCGTCACGACGGATGCCAGTCTGTACAGTTGGGGGGCTCACTTCCGCAACCAGATTGCTCAGGGCAGGTGGTCCTCGGCTGAGGCAGGGCACAGCATCAACTGGTTGGAGCTGAGGGCGGTCTGGTTGGCCCTGCTTCGGTTTCAGATGGGCATTCGGGGTCATCATGTGAGGATACTGATGGACAACGTCACGACGAAGGCGCACATCAATCGCCAGGGGGGCACGTGATCTAGGTCCCTGCTGTCGGAAGCCAACGACCTAGGTTGGTGGGCGGAGCTCCATCTGCTGTCCATTCAGGCGGAGCACATCTCCGGCACGGTGAACACCCAGGCGCACTGGCTGAGCAGGGCGACTGTCGATCACTCAGAGTGGTGCCTGTCCCCGCAGCTGTTCCAGCGCATAGTTCAGAGGTTCAGTTGCCCCCAGGTGGATCTGTTCACTACAGCGGCCAACTCTCATCTTACCAGGTTCTTCTCCAGGTTTCACGATCCAAGGGCCGAGGGGGTAAACGCTCTTCACTGCCCTTGGCAGAAAGGTCTGCTCTACGCCTTTCCCCCTTTGCCTCTTCTTCCCAGAGTCATCAGGGAGATCCTGGCGGAGGCAGCGGAGATCCTTCTGGTGGCCCCCTTTTGGCCCAGGAGGACCTGGTTTGCCGATCTGGTGAGTCTGTCCGTCTGAGACCCGTGGTGGATTCCTCCACACGAGATTTCTCTCTGCCAGGGGGCCCTTCTTCATCCAGAGCCCCAGTGGCTGCAACTAGCCATTTGGCACTTGAGAGGGATCCCTTAAGCAAGGACAACCTTTCCACCAAGGTGATCCGCACCATTCAGGCGTCACGTCGTCCTTCCACGACTCGGATTTACAACGCCACCTGGAGGTCCTTTGTTACCTGGTGTTCTTCCAGAGGTGCTTCAGCTTCTTCAGCTTCGATTCCTGTCATTCTGGACTTTCTGCAAGACAGCGTTGATAAGGGGTTGGCGCCTAACACCCTTCATCGTCAAGTCACCGCGCTCTCCACCATCCTGGCCCCTGAGGGGCAGCCTTCTCTTGGCCGTCACCCCACCATTCGCAGCTTTCTCAGGGGGGCGACTAACCTGAGTCCCCTGATGGTTCACAGATACCCGACTTGGGACCTTAATGTGGTTTTACGGGCTCTGGTTGAGCCACCGTTCGAGCCTCTCCTTTCGGCCAGCTTCAAACAACTCACCTTTAAGACCGTGTTTCTCATTGCCATCACCTCAGCTAGATGTATCTCTGAGCTGGCTGCCTTGTCTGTCCGGGCGGACTTGTGCTTGTTTCACCAGGACAGGGTAGTCCTTCGGCTGGACCCTTCTTTCGTGCCTAAAATTAATTCCTGGTTCCACCGGGCCCAGGAGGTCATCCTTCCTGACTTCGGTCCGCACCTGAGGCATCCTCGTGAGGAGCGCTGGCACAAGCTGGATGTTCGCAGGGTGCTACGCAGTTACATCAAGCGTACGGCCAGTTTTTGCCGTTATTTGTTTCCTTTCAGCCGTCGTCTCAGGGCAGGAAGGTTTCCTCATCTACGATTGGCGGATGGCTTAGGGCCTGCATCGCTCTCGCTCATGTTCTTCAGTCTCGACCGGTACCCAATCGCATCACGGCGCATTCGACCAGGAGTGCTGCCACCACTGCGGCCTGGGCGACGCGGGCTCCTATTGAGGAGATTTGCAGAGCGGCCACATGGACTTCCTTATCTC